AACCAGGATGGTGAGAGGGTTGGAATCCAAGTCTTATGAGGAAAGGCTGAAAGAGCTGGGTCTGTTTAGCCTGGGAAAGAGAAAGCTTAGAGGGGACACGATTGCAGTCTTCAAGTATTTGAAGGGCTGTCATGTAGAAGATGGAGCGGATCTATTCTCTCTTGCTCCGGATTGCAAGACTAGGTCTAATGGGTGGAAATTACAAGGGAGTCGTTACCGGCTAAATATCAGGAGGAACTTCCTAACCGTAAGAGTGGCTGAGCCGTGGAACAGACTGCCTTGGGAGGTGGTGGATGCTCCTTCGCTGGACATTTTCAAGCGGAGGCTGGACGACCATCTTTCGGGTATGTTGTAGGGCTCTCTTTCGGCTGTGCTCCTGCAGAGTGCAGGGGGTTGGACTAGATGACCTGCAAGGTCCCTTCCCACTCTGACATTCTATGATTCTATGATCCAGTAAGCAACATAATAGGACTAGGATTACAGAATTTGAAAACAATGCAAAGAAACAAAAAACTGCCTAAAGTAATAACAATAACAATACAGAGTTAGGTGATGACGCAGTAAAAGCAAGGTGATACGCACGATAAACATGGCAATAGGCTACAATTGTATTCAATTATAAAAGCATCCTTTTGAGCTATTCCGTTATACTACAGTTCAAATCGCTTTATAAAAAATGCCTTTCTGGACATTTCTTTTTGGCACATTCTGCAGAATGAGAGAAGTATGGAGGCCTTCCTGACTTCCTTAGACAGGCCAGAACATAATGTGGGAGACGCCAAAGAGAATGTACACATAAGGGACGTTGCTGATCTTACCCATTTGCAAGGGAGCACCTTCAGAAGGCTTGGCTCCTCTGAGTGAAACTGTCACGCCAGAAGGAAACAGAAGCAGCCCTGTAGGTATCCAGTAAGAGGCATGGCCCTCTATGCAAGTAGAGATCATCAGCTAAAGCCACTGATGCCGTCTTCATCTCACAGCCTGACCTGAAGCCAGACTGAAAAGGGACTAGAGCAGATGAATGACCCAGGAAGACCTGGAGATGTTCTGCAACTGCTCTGTGGTCTTGCCCAGAACATAAGAAAACTGCCTAAAGTAATAACAATAACAATACAGAGTTAGGTGATGACGCAGTAAAAGCAAGGTGATACGCACACGATAAACATGGCAATAGACTACAATTGTATTCAATTATAAAAGCACCCTTTTGAGCTATTCCATTATACTACCATTCAAATCGCTTTATAAAAAATGCCTTTCCGGACATTTCTTTTTGGCGGCCTTCCTGACTTCCTTACACAGGCCAGAAGATAATATGGGGGACGCCACAGAGAATGTACACATAAGGGACGTTGCTGATCTTACCCATTTGCAAGGGAGCACCTTCGGAAGGCTTGGCTCCTCTGAGTGAAACTGTCACGCCAGGAGGAAATACAAGCAGCCCTGTAGGTATCCAGTAAGAGGCATGGTCCTCTATGCAAGTGGAGATCAACTGCTAAAGCCACCGATGCCGTCTTCATCTCACAGCCTGACCTGAAGCCACCCACTGTTGCCCCCCCCAAGCACCAAGAAGACAGAGCATCACTTGCCCCAGAGTCCCTATCTATACCTTGTGGCTAATAGCCACTGATGGACCTCTGCTCCATATCTATATACTAATAGCCAAGGTGTGGTGACCAGAACTGCACACAGTACTCCAAATGAGGTCGCACCCAGGAAGGGCAAATTAGAGTCTGGGTGGTAGCTGGCCACATCTTTCTTCTCTAATGACTTTTTTAAAGTGACGGACAGATGACCACCTATTTCATGATGGAAGAGAAGTGTCCTGAACCAGTCATTGATTTACGATGACATCAGGGGCTCAAGAGAAAAGAGCAAGAGTCCAGTAGCACCTTAAAGACTAACAAAATTTGAGGCAGGATATGAACTATCCGGGATGCAGGCTTGGTTAGCAACCGAAGTCAAAGGAGGCTTCTTTTAAAAAGTGGAAACTTTCTCTAATTGAGGTAAACAGAGAAGAGTACAGGTTTTGGCAAAGCAAATGCAAGCTGATAATAAGGCGGGCAAAAGAGAATTTGGGAAGCGGAGGGCCAAAAACACTAAGACAAAGAAAAAGAATTTCTTCAAGTATATCAGAAGCAGGAAACTGGTTAGGGAGGTGGCGAGGCCTTTAGATGACAAGGAAATAAAAGGATTGCTTAAGGAAGATGAATTCTTTGCTTCTTTTTTAGGGTTGCCAGTTCTGGTTTGGGAAATTCCTGGAGATCTGGGGTGGAACTCAAACGTAACATTTTTGATTGACTAACAAGTATATGTAATGCTAAAATCAGACTATGTGCTGGATGACTGGACAACAGCAAGCATCACTGCAACTTTTAAAAAGGGATCTCAGAATTTACAAGCCAGTTAGCCTAACATCTTTTCAGTTAACCTAATAGAAACTGTTTTTAAAGAGAGAATTATCAAGCACATTGAAGAACAAGGTCTGCTGAAGGAAAATCAGTATGGCTTTTGCAAAGGGAAGTCCTGCCTCACCAACCACTTAGATTTCTTTGAGCAGGTTAACCAGCATGTGGGTAAAGGCAATCTGGTAGAGATTATATAGTACTTGGACTTCCAAAAGGCTTGTGATGATGTGCTTCACCAAAGACTCTTGAGATCTCTAACTCTCCATGGAATTTCCTTGAGGATCTTTATTTCTGTGTTCTCAATCCGTAGAGGTGTAGTGTTAGCAGCTTTAAGAATTTCATCTCTAAAACTCCTTTCATGAAATCTCACGTGAATTTCTCTGGGAAGCTCATCAATCATGGGAGAACAACTATAAAGTTACCGTTAAATGGCAGGAAACAGCAGGAAATAGAAAGTAGCAATAAATGGACAGTTCTCACAATGGAGGGAAGTAAGCAGAGAGGGGTCCTATAAGGATCGGTATTGGGACTGGTGCTATTTGTTCAGAAAGTACAAGGTGATAAGTATAGGAAGAATTTTTTAAAAAAATATATGCTGATGGGGCTGAACTGGCTAAGAAAGAGATCTGGGGGTCGAAGTGGAAGATCTACAAAAATGTTAACCCAGTGTGCAGCAGAGGTAAAAAAGTGCAACTCCATAATAAAAATAATTAGGCAAAGGACTGAAAATAAAAGGGCCAATATTATAATGCCTTTGTAGAAAGTTATGGTGTGGCCT